GGGGACACATGGTTGATGTAGAGAAGACATCACTTTGATGAGTCTCCTGACACACCGGGGACACATGGTGATGTAGAGAAGACATCACTTAGTGAGTCTCCTGACACACCGGGGACCACATGGTGATGTAGAGAAGACATCACTTAGATGAGTCTCCTGACACACCGGGGACACATGGTGATGTAGAGAAGACATCACTTTGAGAGTCTCCTGACACACACGGGGACACATGGTGATGTAGAGAAGACATCACTTTAGTGAGTCTCCTGACACACCGGGGACACATGGTGATGTAGAGAAGACATCACTTTAGTGAGTCTCCTGACACACCGGGGACACATGGTGATGTAGAGAAGACATCACTTTGAGAGTCTCCTGACACACCGGGGGACACATGGTGATGTAGAGAAGACATCACTTTAGTGAGTCTCCTGACACACCGGGGACACATGGTGATGTAGAGAAGACATCACTTTAGAGAGTCTCCTGACACACCGGGGACACATGGTGATGTAGAGAAGACATCACTATGATGAGTCTCCTGACACACCGGGACACATGGTGATGTAGAGAATACATCACTAGTGAGTCTCCTGACACACCGGGGACACATGGTGATGTCGAGAAGACATCACTAAGTGATGTCTCCTGACACACCGGGGACACATGGTGATGTAGAGAAGACATCACTTAGTGAGTCTCCTGACACACCGGGGACACATGGTGATGTAGAGAAGACATCACTTAGTGAGTCTCCTGACACACCGGGGACACATGGTGATGTAGAGAAGACATCACTTGTGAGTCTCCTGACAACACCGGGGACACATGGTGATGTAGAGAAGACATCACTTAGTGAGTCTCCTGACACACCGGGGACACATGGTGATGTAGAGAAGACATCACTTTGAGTCTCCTGACACACCGGGGACACATGGTGATGTAGAAGAGACATCACTTTGAGTCTCCTGACACACCGGGGACACATGGTGATGTAGAGAAGACATCACTTTGAGAGTCTCCTGACACACAGGGGACACATGGTGATGTAGAGAAGACATCACTTTGAGTCTCCTGACACACCGGGGACACATGTTGATGTAGAGAAGACATCACTATGTGAGTCTCCTGACACACGGGGACACATGGTGATGTAGAGAAGACATCACTTAGAGTCTCCTGACACACCGGGGACACATGGGATGTAGAGAGACATCACTGTGAGTCTCCTGACACCAACGGGGACACATGAGTGATGTAGAGAAGACATCACTTGAAGTCTCCTGACACACCGGGACACATGGTGATGTAGAGAAGACAATCACTTGTGAGTCTCTGACACACGGGGACACATGGTGATGTAGAGAAGACATCATTAGAGAGTCTCCCTGGAACACCGGGGACACATGGTGATTGTAGAGAAGACATCACTTGAGAGTCTCCTGACACACCGGGGGACACATGGTGATGTAGAGAAGACATCACTTTGGAGTCTCCTGACACACGGGGACACATGGTGATGTAGAGAAAGACATCACTTTGAGAGTCTTCCTGACACACCGGGGACACATGGTGATGTAGAGAAGACATCACTTTGTAGAGTCTCCTGACACACCGGGACACATGGTGATGTAGAGAAGACATCACTTTAGTGAGTCTCCTGACACACCGGGGACACATGGTGATGTAGAGAAGACATCACTTGTGAGTCTCCTGACACCACCGGGGACACATGGTGATGTAGAGAAGACATCACTTAGTGAGTCTCCTGACACACCGGGGGACACATGGTGATGTAGAGAAGACATCACTTAGTGAGTCTCCTGACACACCGGGGACACATGGTGATGTAGAGAAGACATCACTTAGTGAGTCTCCTGACACACCGGGGACACATGGTGATGTAGAGAAGACATCACTTAGTGAGTCTCCTGACACACCGGGGGACACATGGTGATGTAGAGAAGACATCACTTAGTGAGTCTCCTGACACACCGGGGGACACATGGTGATGTAGAGAAGACATCACTTTAGGAGTCTCCTGACACACCGGGGACACATGGTGATGTAGAGAGAGACATCACTTTGTGAGTCTCCTGACACACCGGGGACACATGGTGATGTAGAGAAGACATCACTTAGTGAGTCTCCTGACACACCGGGGACACATGGGATGTAGAGAAGACATCACTTTGTAGAGTCTCCTGACACACCGGGGACACATGGTGATGTAGAGAAGACATCACTTAGTAGAGTCTCCTGACACACGGGGACACATGGTGATGTAGAGAAGACATCACTTAGGAGTCTCCTGACCACACCGGGGACACATGGTGATGTAGAGAAGACATCACTTGTGAGTCTCCTGACACACCGGGGACACATGGTGATGTAGAGAAGACATCACTTTAGTGAGTCTCCTGACACACCGGGGGGACACATGGTGATGTAGAGAAGACATCACTTTTGAGAGTCTCCTGACACCACCGGGGACACATGGTGATGAAGAGAAGACATCACTTTGAGAGTCTCCTGACACACGGGGACACATGGTGATGAAGAGAAGACATCACTTTGAGAGTCTCCTGACACACCAGGGACACATGGTGATGTAGAGAAGACATCACTTTGGAGTCTCCTGACACACCTGGGACACATGGTGATGTAGAGAAGACATCACTTTGAGAGTCTCCTGACACACCGGGGACACATAGATGTAGAGAAGACATCACTTAGTGAGTCTCCTGACACACCGGGGACACATGGTGATGTAGAGAAGACATCAGGAAGTGCATTTTGCATGATAGGAGACCTTTAAGTTAGCATCCGGCAGTTTCTATGTTCTCTGTGGTTGCGGTCGAATAGTCCATTTAGCTTAGGAACCTTCCTAACGGAGTGAAATGACCCGGAAGTCCCTCAGTGGCAGCCATGATAAGTGCCGTTCGAATTCTCTAAATGAAAGGAGGTTTCAAACTTCCTTTATAACCTCCTTAGCTTAGGAACCACTGGACCTCCCTTTACGAAAGGAGAGGAGAAAATGCTGCCCCACAATGCCTTGCGGCCACGGCATTTGCCGTCACACAACAGTCGGCCGTTCACGGAAACAACCGATTATGAGCGAGAAATGATATCATGAAAGTTACGGTGCTTATTAAGCATTTTAAAACGTATGTGGTAAGTTGCCAAAGTGCTTTGTTTTGAACGTTCATCAGTATTATAATCAAAAAGAGAAATAGAACGTTAGTTTTTACTGAAATGATCAAATAAAGTCAACATTTCACAGTCTTTACTGAGCTGTGTGGGGTTTGTTCAACTTTTAAAAGATGTTTGAATGGTGATATACACAGTGATAGATGTTAAGGACTAACCATTATAATAAATACATTTGTATTGATTTTAAGATCTTTTCATACAATCATACGTATTGGGATCATTTGTATTAATGTGGACCGGAGGGAGAGGGTGACGAGCATAGTTTCACTTTCCTTTTTATTTCAATTCCAACTTTGGTCATGAAGAATGTTTCTCTGTTGTCCCCGTTCATAAAGCATAACAGCATCAGAGCACGGTGCAGAGTCTCTAGATGAGTTTACAGTAGTCCCTCGTTCTTATTAAACATCCATGTTGTAGTCCGCTGAATAGAAAACTGTAGTTTCCATAGTTTCCCCACAGCAGCAGGCGCACATTTATGACGTCCGCTGGCGCATCATAAACACGTCGGATTCTCTAAAGTACCGCAGTCTTTCTCCTAAGTCCTTTTGAATTCTCCTATCCACTATCCCTTAACCCCGTGACCTTTCACTCAGAGGTCAAGGATAGACGATAGGGTTAGAACTTAGGAGCTGTTTTTTTGGAGTATTCGACGGCAACCAGTGTCTACCTGGGTTAGCGGCTCCTCAGCATCAGCATCTTGGCCAGGGCGAAGGTGATGATGACGAGGCAGAGGAGCAGCATGGGGGTGGAGATTGTGGAGACCCTCGGGGGACCATCTTGTTTGTTCCAGGACACCCCGACGCAGGCTCCCAGCAGCACGCACCCCCACAGGTCCAACACCAAACTCAGGAGGTCAAAGTTCAGCGCCTCCTCCCTGAAGACGCACCAGTGAGAGCCGTGTGTAAAGAGGACGGTGGTGAGGATGACGTCCAGGAGGATGAAGAGCACTGCGAGGATCAGTGATAAATTAACACCCATGCTGACACAGAGGAGAAAATACAGTGTTAGAAACATCCCCACTGGAGTGTGGACTGCTACTTGGAGAGGTCCCAGTTCACCTCCTGCCCTGCCGTGGTGCCCTTGAGCAAGGCACCGGACATCCCCCTTCCCCCCTCACTCCCATTGCTCCCCGGGCGCTGTACAATAGCTGCCCACTGCTCCTGGTACTAGACTCCTGGTTCTAGTCTCCTGGTACTAGACTCTGGTTCTAGTCTCCTGGTACTAGACTCCTGGTACTAGGATGGGTTAAAAGCAGAGAACACATTTCACTGTGTGCTCTCCATGTGAGACCATTACAGAGGGTTTCATCCCTCCAATTCTATTCTAATTCTATTCTGGTTCCCGGCTTGATCTTCAATCTCAGGATCCATGTATCTGTGATCCTCTCCAGAATGGAAGTAGTCATCACATACAGAGCATCAACTAGTTCCTGAACAGTGTCCTTCACATGCTGATATCCAAGAGAGGGAGTTACACAGTCACAAGATGGAGGAATACCGGTTCTTGTAGGTAATCATACATCCTGTCATGAACAAAATAGTTCTCAAAATGTTGGCTTTTTTCTCAAAATTATGACTTTTCCTTAAAATGATTTTTTCTCAAAATCTCAAAATTATGACTTTCTCAAAATTATGTTTTTTCTCAAAATCTCAAAATTATGAATTTCTCAAAATCTCAAAATCATGACTTTTCTCAAAATCTCCGTGCAGACCATTTACATGCACTAACACCTAAAGAACACACTACAGGAGAAGAGGACACCTTCAAAGCAAACAGTCATTTAGTCGTTCAGTTTGTGCACTTCAGCTTTATTCAAAGTTCCTCACCAGGTCAACACTGCATTTAGTATAATATCTACACGCACCCAAACAAATATAGAAAAAATAACCCTAAGTTAGTTTGTTTTTTATACACTTTTACATTTTGCTAAAAACACAGAAAACAGGAAAGGTTTTTTTGAACACAGACGAGTAACATGTGCTTTTTACCAGCAGCCACCGGGACAGCCAGGGAAGAGAGACAGGGCCGCTGCCTGATACGGTCTAACCAGATATATAATATATATTCATGTATATTATATATATCTCTGTAAACAGTCTGCATCACGCACAGCAGAGGACAACAGGTGCATTATTTACAGTATCTGAAGCAGAGAGAAAACCCAGCACTGATAAAACATGATTTGTTATAAATGTACAGAAACCTCAAAGAAACGGAGAGGGGAGTTCACAAAGGAGAGGCCGTGGCCGTGCTACGATTCACACGAGATAAAGAAATTCATATTAGAGTGCAAACACACAGATAACTCAGCAGCAAAAAGACCTTTAACATGAATTATTGCTGATTGGAAAAGGAAGACCAGGATTTGTAAAAACAGAGAAATTATTTCTTTATTTCCACTTTTTATGTATTTTTGAATGATATATTAGAAACTAATATGTAGGGGCGCTTTCATAAATGTACATCTCATGACTCAACCGTCACTGCATCCCATAATAATAGAGTTTGAGCGTCACCTGCTACAATCACTGCTGTCAGGGTCAGACCAACCTTCATATTTTACATGTATGTTAATGTTTATACACGTCTGTTACTTTGTGAATTTAACTGTTTTTGCATGAGAGATAAAGAGCTGCATATTTCCAAATTGTAATCGTGTACATTTCACAGGAGTAGAGCAGTTAGCTTAGCGTTAGCCTAGCATTAGCATAGCCTCCTTTGTGAATTCCCTTAGAGTGTGTTAGTGTTGAAATCGTCAGTTTGATGCTAAAATCGGCTAACGGTCAGATTTTAAACCCCGGCTGTGTGTGATTGGTCGTCATCATGATCGACAGGCCCCTCCCCCACTGCGCCTTGCTCAAAGGCAACAAGGAAACAAGTGCACAGGAAGGCCTCGGACAGGAAGGTGAGGCGAGGCGGCGAGGAGAGGAGGAGACGCCGCCGGGCTGATGGGAAATAATGCCCTCTATGTTTTATTTGAGGTCCAGCACCATGGCGGCCGGGTTCTCCAAGGTACTTCCTTCCACAGGTTGGAGAACCGGCTCATGGTGGCGCCGTCGATGATGCGGTGATCCGCCGACCAGCTGACGTTCATGATGTGAGCTGGGACCACCTGGCCACCGGCATCGAACCGGGGCAGCACCTGAGGAAATTAGAAACGTTTTAATTAGATTTCAATTTTTTTTCAAGTATTTTTAATTTGTATTACACATTTCATTTTACTGAGCAGTTTATTTTAAATTAGATTAATATATTTAATGAATTGTAAGGTGTCCTTGGGTGCTTTGAAAGGCGCCTCTAAATAGAACAAATTATTATTAATATTATTAATTAGATATACATTTTTTACCAGTACTTATATATTTAATTATATCATTCATTTTACTGAGCAGTTTTTTAAATTAGTTCATAAATGTGCTCTTCTCTGTCAACTTTAACATTTTTATTAAATATATTTTGCATTTAAGATAAGATGTACTTCATTGATCCCAATTAGGGAAATGTGTTGCGTTGCATCAGCATAAATGGACATGGCATGTACAATAGAGAAATTAAAAGAAATAAACAATCCAAAATGTAACATCTCAAATAGAAATAAAATAGCATTATACATTAAAACAGTGGAGTACCACAGGGCTCTGTATTAGGACCTCTGTTTTGTTGCCATCCTACGTTAAGTGAATAACGTACATTTGTATTTTATATGCAGATGATACTTAGAATTATTCTCCCAATAATCTATGTATGAAATGTCCTTGATTGATTTCCAATTGTTGGTTTAATCTAATGTTTTAAATACTTTGTCAAACCAACAATGGTGAACCTTTGAATATTTGATTTCCCGGGAATGTTTGAGACCCACCTGGATTTTTTCCCAGCGCTTCCGATGGCGACTTCAGGAGGAAGAATGACGGGTTGGCGTACGTTCCTCCGATCTGTAAAACACAAGTGTTAGAAAAACATCACTGGTCCCCGGCTCTCAAAATGTTGACTTTTTCTTAAATTATGACTTTTTCTTCAAAAATCATGACTTTTTCTCAAAATCTCAAAATCATGACTTTTTCTCAAATGCATTGACTTTTTCTCAAAATCATGACTTTTTCTCAAAATCTCCAAATCATGACTTTTTCTCAAAATCTCCAAATCATGACTTTTTCTCAAAATCTCCAAATCATGACTTTTTCTCCAAATCATGACTTTTTCTCAAAATCTCCAAATCATGACTTTTTCTCAAAATCTCCAAATCATGACTTTTTCTCAAAATCTCAAAATCATGACTTTTTCTCAAAATCTCAAAATCATGACTTTTTCTCAAATGCAATGACTTTTCTCAAAATCTCCAAATTATGACTTTTTTTCCAAATTATGACTTTTTTCTCAAAATGTTCAAATGTTGACTTTTTCTCAAAATGTTTTTTTTTCAAAGAAAAGACTTTTAAAAAAAATTCTGACTTTTTCTCAAATCTCCAAGAATTCTGACTTTGAAGAATGGAAGTAGTCATCACTATACAGAGCATCAACTAGTTCCTGAACAGTGTCCTTCACATGCTGATATCCAAGAGAGGGAGTTCACACAGTCACAAGATGGAGGAATAGAAAGCAGTATTCAATGTTTACTTCAGATTAGCTCCACGTCAGAAATGAGCATGCTTGTTGTATGTCTATCTCCATAGAGGCTGAATCATCATGTTAATCACATAGCTATCATATGCCTCAAACAGTCCTGATGCTCTTCTAGGTAATCATACATCCTGTCATGTTCACAGCTACAGTTGGGATACCTTTGTTATCATGTTGCTCTCACATTGAAAGAGGACATTCAGGATTCTCCCAACAACAGGGAACCCGTAAGATCTGCAGCAGGTTCTGTAAAAGGTTCCTGTACTCACCGATCCGATGTTGGACAGAGTGAAGGTTCCTCCGGTGAGCTCGTTGGTTCCCAGCTGTCCGGCGGTACCGAGCGCCTGCAGCCGGTTCAACTCCTGAGCGATCTCGAAGACGCTGAGCAGCTGCACGTATCTTCACATTGGGAACCAGCAGACCCTGACTCGTGTCCATCGCCAGCCCGATGTTGTGAGACGCCTGTAAATATATAAATATTAAACCTGATGTAAAACTGGAGCTAACAATAACAAATAACATTTTTTATTAATAACATATCATTTATATGATAGATGGGGTGTGTACCTTGTAGGTGATGTTCTGGCAGCCCTCGTCCAGCGACGCGTTGAGGACGGGGAAGTGAAGCAGGCCGAGGGAGGCAGCCTGCACCCAATCAGAGCGCAGCGTTAGCACCAACACACACCACTTTAACCAATCAGCTTTGAGGAGAGGAGTACCTTCCAATCCAACTTTATTTATACAGCACATTTAAAAACAACAGAGTTGACCCAAAGTGCTGTACATCGATAAATATATAAAAAAGCAGCCTAAATACATTTAGACAAAACCGATAGGACGAAAAACTAATATAAAAGAACGAGACAATGAAACCCTACTTATAGCCACGGACTGAAAACTCTCGTACACAATGTAAAAGCAAAGACTGACAACTCTTATACGTGTTGGAGAACAAGTAGGTCTTTAAAAATGGACTCTAAACGTTATGGAAGCCAGAGTGAAGTCACCTTGATGAAGAGGGCATGAAGCTGAGTCTGACGCCCCGACTCTCACACAGAGCCTTCAGCTCCTTCCTCAGCGCTGCCAGCCGGCTCAGCTCCACCTCGTCACTGTACCCGAAGTGAGGGAATCCGCAGCGCCGCCGTCATCGTGCGCACCATCGCACGGTGGAAACCTGGGAATACATTAATATAACTATATATATGTACATTTATATATATTCAAGATTCAAGGCTTTTATTGTCATGTGTGCATATACAGTTTAGATGACAATGAACGTCTGAGGTCTCAGGCTCCTCCAGAGCAACACAATAACACAGATACAATAGTGCAAGTAAATATAAATAAAATAGAATATAGTAGAAATAAAATATATCTATTGTATGCACCATCACACTGGATACCTGAAACACAGATATATATATACACCTTTATTTATATCAATTGTGTGTACCATCACACGGTGGAAAACCTGGAAAATATATGAATATACCTTTATATATGTTTATATATCTATCACACAGTGGAAGCCTGACAAACAATATACAGCAGGTTAGGGCTGCACGATATATCGTGTCATTTTTTTTTTAGGACGTGCGATATTAAGTAGGCAAATGAACTCAAACACGTCATGTTACAATTATTTTTGCTGCTTGCTACAAAAGGAAAACTCACGCTCTCATGTCAGGGGCACTTGAGTGAGGTGACATGCCGGCTCTGCATGCACAGCAAACCACCAATCACAATCATTCTTGATCAGATCACAGCAGGCTTATCGAGCTAGCTCAGCTTGTTGCTCTGATAACTTAAAGGGGACCTATCATGCAAAATGCACGTCTTTTCTACATGAATATGTGTCCCCGGTGTTCCAGGGAACTCACCAAGTGTCAGAAAACACAACCCTCTCTATTTTCCTCCATACCCAAATCTCTAAAAAAGGGGCTGCAACGGATCTGATAAAAACTGATCCAGATTGAACACTGTCCTGACGTCAGGACGGTGGCGCTACGGCTATTGGGCCAACTCCACCAATCAGGAGGAGACAGCCACGGCCATTGCCGTTCGAAAGCGCTGGAGACGCTGTAGTACATATGCCAGGCCTGTAGGTGGAGCTGTTCTCACTGAATCAGCCCAGAGCTAGAAATGGTCAAATTGAGCAAAATGAGGCATGGCTAAAATGCATGATCTGTTTGGTATTTTGAAAAAAAAAAAAGTATAAATATGCCTTATATAGGTATGGTCCTACACTATATTATTCAAATATAGCATGATAGGTCCACTTTAAGATCCAGAAGTCCCTGACTAAAATCCTTCATCCGGTTGAATATCGTTAAAAATAATACCAATTGTATCGCTTTAAAGTTTCAAGAAAGGTTTGCGGACAAAAAAAACTATTTTCTTCAATCTTGTATTTTTTCATATCACAATGTCAGTTTTTTCCAATGTCGTGCAGCTCTACTGGAGGTAACTTTATATATCCATCCATCCCATGCACCATCGCACGGTGGAACCTGGAAATATATTAGTATACAGGTTACTTTATCTCTACACCGTTGCATTGTTTGATTTCTCCGTCTCCATCACATCTTGTGTTCTGACAGTATTTATATACTAATTTATATAAATAGTTTTCACCGCAATAAACCGTATATCATTTAGTCTAAATGTACATTATTTCATGTCATACTCTGTTCTTGTACATTTCATATTCTATTGACATGTATAAAGACTTCTTGCACTATTATTTATTTGTATTTTATTGTATATGTTGCATTGTGGGAGGAGCTCAGGTCAGGAGAAACGTCATGTCCTGCTCTGTAGCTGCTGAGCATCTGATGAGAACACCTTTGAGTTTGAATTGAATGATTGAGGTCGATGCACAGGTGAGCCTCTGACCTTTGAGCCGGCTCCGTGACGTCCTTCCCGGTGAACACGGGTCTGGGGATGGCTGCCGGGATGGGGAGGGCGGGTTTTGCTGCGGGGGGGCTGGGGGGGGCGGGTCACAGCAGGGGGGGGAGGCTGGATCTCCTGGAACATCGTCGTGGGGATGATGGCGCCCGTCTGCTTCGCCAGGAAGTTCAAGATGTCTTCCTTCAAGATCCGTCCGTCACGACCCGTCCCAACGACCTCACTGAGCTTAATCTGAGGGGGGGGGGCAGAGTGAGAGGATAAGAGGCGGGACATCTCTAAGCTGGTTGACCAATCACAACAGAGCCGACCAGCTAACCAATCAGAGCAGACTGGGCTCTGGTTTCAGACAGAGGGTGAAAAGAGGTGTATGAGAACAATAAAGAGCTTTTTGAACATTAAAGGTCCCCTATCATCCTCCTCTTCATCAATATATCACAGGTCTCAGATATATCCAGAGCCTGTCTCTGATTGGCTGAAACACCAAACAGATCATTGCAGCATTACCCATAATCCCCTCTGTTTCAGCCCTGTTTCCAAAGTGCTGATTCTCTGTCTGTTACTTTAGATGAAAATAAGGAGCCCCTCCCCACGCCCCTCTGAGAGAGATTTGGTTTAAAAGAACTCAATGGTGCTCTAGGAGGAGATTCAGGTGATAAGGGGGGGGGGGGGGGGACATGTTGATGAAGAAGAGACATGAAGAAGAGGGGACACATGTTGATGTAGAAGAGACATGAAGAAGAGGGGACACATGTTGATGTAGAAGAGACATGAAGAAGAGGGGACACATGTTGATGTAGAAGAGACATGAAGAAGAGGGGACACATCGTTGATGAAGAAGAGCACATGAAGAAGAGGGGACACATGTTGATGAAGAAGAGACATGAAGACGAGGGGACACATGTTGATGTAGAAGAGACATGAAGAAGAGGGGACACATGTTGATGTAGAAGAGACATGAAGAAGAGGGGACACATGTTGATGAAGAAGAGACATGAAGACGAGGGGACACATGTTGATGTAGAAGAGACATGAAGAAGAGGGGACACATGGTGATGTAGAAGAGACATGAAGAAGAGGGGACACATGGTGATGTAGAAGAGACATGACAGAGAGGGGACACATGTTGATGTAGAAGAGACATGAAGAGGGGACACATGTTGATGTAGAAGAGACATGAAGAAGAGGGGACACCATGGTGATGTAGAAGAGACATGAAGAAGAGGGGACACATGGTGATGTAGAAGAGACATGAAGAAGAGGGGGACACATGGTGATGTAGAAGAGACATGAAGAAGAGGGGACACATGTTGATGTAGAAGAGACCATGAAGAGAGGGGACACATGGTGATGTAGAAGAGGACATGAAAGAAGAGGGGGACACATGGTTGATGTAGAAGTGATGTAGAAGAGACATGAAGAAGAGGGGACACATGGTGATGTAGAAGAGACATGAAGAAGAGGGGACACATGGTGATGTAGAAGAGACATGAAGAAGAGGGGACACATGGTGATGTAGAAGAGACATGAAGAAGAGGGGACACATGTTGATGTAGAAGAGACATGAAGAAGAGGGGACACATGGTGATGTAGAAGAGACATGAAGAAGAGGGGACACATGGTGATGTAGAAGAGACATGAAGAAGAGGGGACACATGGTGATGTAGAAGAGACATGAAGAAGAGGGGACACATGTTGATGTAGAAGAGACATGAAGAAGAGGATTTTGCATAACAGGTGACCTTTAAAGCATGGAGACATCCTTCAGATCAGATCCGTCAGGTTTCAGGAAGTTACACAAAAAACTAATTTGTGTTCACAAGTTTCTTCTTTTACACATCTTGGAACTAAACACTGAAAACTGTCAGATTAAAAATGTCTGCTGCTCTTCTTGCTGTTCGGATGGTTTTTATATTATTATTTTCTGACGAGGTGTGCAGGAGCAGGACTCACGTTGTTCTCCATGGCGAGGCGGCGCACCGCGGGGGTCGCCTGCGTCTTGTGACCTTTGATCTCCTGGTGGGTGTGCTCCTCTCGAGCCATGGCCGGCGTCTCCACCACGTCCTCCTCCGGGATCACCTCTGACCAATCACAGACACACCAGCAAGGTCACTAAGTCATCAAGTACAATTTTGAGATACCCCTCTTTACTTGAGTATTTCAATTTGTTCCTACTGTGTACTTTCCCTCCACTACATGTATTTAATCCCTTTAGTTACTTCACAGATGTGGATGAATGATGTGAAATATAATCAACCCTTAAATCAGACTTTAGTTCCACCTGGAGTAAATCCACAAGCTACCCTGCAGTATACAAAGTCATTCAAACTAGCTGCACCTTTACCAGCTTTGAGAACACTTTCATGATCAATCATTATAAAACATATCATATATATTATTCTGAAATGGACCAATCTGCACAATGAATACTTTTACTGTCGCTACTTTCACTATATTTTGATGATAATACTTTTATACTTTCACTTGAGGAACATTTTGAATGCAGGACTTTTACTGTAACAGAGTATTCCTACACTCTGGTACTTCTACTTTTACTCAAGTACAAGATCTGAGTACTTCTACTTTTACTCAAGTACAAGATCTGAGTACTTCTACTTTTACTCAAGTACAAGATCTGAGTACTTCTACTTTTACTCGAGTAAAAGTAGAAGTACTCAGATCTTGTACTTAAGTACAAGATCTGAATACTTCTACTTTTACTCAAGTACAAGATCTGAATACTTCTACTTTTACTCAAGTACAAGATCTGAGTACTTCTACTTTTACTCAAGTACAAGATCTGAGTACTTCTACTTTACTCAAGTACAAGATCTGAGTACTTCTACTTTTACTCAAGTACAAGATCTGAGTACTTCTACTTTTACTCAAGTACAAGATCTGAGTACTTCTACTTTTACTCACGTACAAGATCTGAGTACTTCTACTTTTACTCAAGTTCTGAGTACTTCTACTTTTACTCAAGTACAAGATCTGAGTACTTCTACTATTACTCAAGTACAAGATCTGAGTACTTCTACCTTTACTCAAGATCTGAGTACTTCTACTTTTACTCAAGTACAAGATCTGAGTACTTCTACTTTTACTCAAGGTCAAGATCTGAGTACTTCTACTTTTACTCAAGTACAAGATCTGAGTACTTCTGAGTACTTCTGAGTACTTCTGAGTACTTCTGAGTACTTCTACCACCTTTCTTAGTTAACATGAAGCTGTCTGTGGCTCTTTCTGCTGTAACAATGTACATGTCCCCTCTGTGGGACGAATAAAGGGATTCTGACCTCTGACCCTCTGACCTCTGACAGCTTTAGCATCAGCAGTATATATATTAAACCTTCAGTACTTGTCCTTCAGTACTTGTCCTTCAGTACTTGTCTGTTCTGCTCACCGTTGCTGGACTCGGTCTCGATGTCCACCAGAGGTTTCCCCACCAGCGCCGTGGCGTCCACCTCGTGGTAAAGCCTCGTGATGACTCCGTCGTAGCGGCTGGTGATGGTGACGGACGCCTTGTCGCTCTGCACCTCGCAGATACTGT